TGTCTACAGCCAAGCTCTAAGATATAACCGCATTTGCTCCAATCCCTCAGACAGAGATAAGCACCCACAAGATCTCTATCAAGCATTCTTAAAACTACAACACCCACCTGCTGAAGTGAAAAAACAGACTGACAGAGCCAGACGAGTACCCAGAAGTCACTTCCTACAAGACAGGCCCAACAAAGAAAATAACAGAACACCACTAGCTGTCACCTTCAGCCCCCAACTAAGACCTCTCCAGCGCATCATCAAACATCTACAACCTATCCTGAAAGATGACCCCTCACTCTCAGATCTTGGAAGACAGACCTGTCCTCGCTTTCAGACAACCCCCCAACCTAAAGCAAATACTCACCAGCAACCACACATCACTGAACAAAAACACTGACCCAGGAACCTATCCTTGTAACAAAGCCCGATGCCAACTCTGTCCACATATCTATTCAAGTGACATCATCATAGGACCTAATCACATCAGCCATACCATAAGGGGCTTGTTCACCTGCACATCTACCAATGTGATATATGCCATCATGTGCCAGTAATGGCCCTCTGCCATTAGGGTGACCAGATGTCCCGATTTTATAGGGACAGTCCTGATTTTTGGGTCTTTTTCTTATATTGGCTCCTATTACCCCCCACCCCGGTCCCGATTTTTCACACTTGCTATCTGGTCACCCTATCTGCCATGTACATTGGCCAAACCGGACAGTCTCTACGCAAAAGAATTAATGGACACAAATCTGACATCAGGAATCATAATACTCAAAAACCAGTGGGAGAACACTTTAACCTGTCTGGTCATTCAATGACAGATCTGCAGGTGGCTATATTACAACAGAAAAACTTCAAAAACAGACTCCAACGAGAGACTGCTGAGCTGGAATTGATATGCAAACTAGATACATTCAATTTAGTATTGAATAAGGATTGGGAATGGCTGAGCCATTACAAACATTGAATCTGTCTCCCCTTGTAAGTATTCTCACACTTCTTATCAAACTGTCTGTACTGGGCTATCTTGATTATCACTTCAAAAGTTTTTTTTCTCTTACTTAATTGGCCTCTCAGAGTTGGTAAGACAACTCCCACCTGTTCATGCTCTCTGTATGTGTGTGTATATATCTCCTCAATATATGTTCCATTCTATATGCATCTGAAGAAGTGGGCTGTAGCCCACGAAAGCTTATGCTCTAATAAATTTGTTAGTCTCTAAGGTGCTACAAGTACTCCTGTTCTTTTTGCAAATTCACAAATAGTTTCAGGTTGACCAAAACTGCATTTTTTAACATATAAACTATTCATCTGAAAAGTTTCACCTAACTCTAGCCCTGAAGCATGTGGATATTTTCCCCTGTACTCAGGCTCCCGGTGCCTCTCACTCTATTGCCTCTGCTTATAACCGGAAATAGCACCTCTAGTGCTACCTATTAAGAAGAGTCTGACATTTCCATTATAAACTTCTAATTCTGTACTATTTATAACAACTCGGACATTTCATTGAAGTGAAAATTGGCCCAGTAAAGTCCCAACTTGGAGCAACTGTGTTTGCAACATTAAAAAAAAAAGTATTCAACAACATAACACATTTAAAATACACTGACATAAACCCAGGGACAAGATATAAGGTTCACAAATAGCTAGGTATAAATGCTTACAAAAGGGAGGGAAGGTTAAATTCTGTTTTCAATAACCATTTTGACATCACTGAATATAATTAAAGACAAACTCTGGCCCAGTCTTTTTAGTGAGACAGAGTTTAAAATGAAATAATGGGTTGAATTTGTTCATGGAGTTATTTCTGGGATGAATTTGACTCCTTTCCCTACTTTTTACATATTATTTATAATTGTTATGATAAACATTGAAATTAAAATTTTTCTGGGACATAATCACTAAAAGCATAATGAAATGGTGGAAATTTTGTGTGGTGTTTGCAACATGGTTCCCAGATCATCTACTTTTATGGATGTGTCATATCCTAAGTGATTGAGTGTTGAAATGTCCTGCAGTAAAGCAAGTCAAAGTGAGTAAAAGGTTTGAGTTAGGTCTGTGTAAAAATTGGGGTATGAAACCCCAAACAATACAAAACTCACCATGTTTGATGTTTTGGTAAAAATCTGTGGCCTGATCATGTTCCCATAAATGTCAATGAGAGTTTTGCCATTGAGTTCAATCAGTGTATGATTGTACATGTGAAAGGCAGCACAGGTTTTTCTAAAGGTTCTATTAAATTTTAGTAACCTTGAATGATTTATGATTTTTCATAATCTTAAATTGGCCAAGTTTCACTTTGAGTCAGAAACTCAGAGCAGAACTTGGGGTTCAAACTAACATTAACTGAAACTGATGAAAAGATTCAAATGACTGCACTGTGCTCCAGGAATGAATACTATTGAGTTTCACACAGCTTTGGTTAAAATGCCATCTTTGGCTCACCATACCATGCCTCAATGTAGTGTAGTGGCACATTCTTCTGACAGCACATTCTTCTGACAGCGGATGCCTAGAAGGCTTAAGTTTTGTGTGCAAAACCTTATTTAAACACAGAAAGTTGCATTTGCAGCGTGTACAGCAGATCTAAAAAAAAATGGGTTTTGTGTCCTTTTGTGCTTCTTTATGATGTTGCAAGAAGGACTGAAATGTATATTTGTTTGTTGTTTCCATTTGCTTTATTTTTTTTAAATTTTAAAGACTTGTTTGACTGGAGGACTTTCTTGGGTACCTTATGTATTTATTGTGAGTTCTTACCTCATAACTGAGATGTTGAATCTTAAAAACCTATGCCTTTTAAGCAAAGCATTTATTAGGCAGTTAAATAAGTTTCTACATAAACAAAGTCTTAAACAGCATAGCTAAAAGTCTCTTCCCCTCCCAATTGCTTAGCTTAGTCTCTTGTGATGTCATAATTTCATTGGTTCTCCATTGAGTCCCTTTCAGGCTAGACATGACCTGAATTTCTAAAATAAACAAAAATTAGCAGGAAATGTGAAAACAGGTTTTTGTCTATATTTTGTCAAGACTGTTCAAGTCCCTTTGTGTTACATGAAGAAGCAAGCTCAATTTCCCCACCTTCTTCAGGCTACCTTTTAAAGAAGTGGTCCAATAGTCCTTGCTTTCTGAAGGAGTGATAGTGAAGATCATGGTGTAGGTTTCATATATGCTATGAGGCACCTTGCACAGTCTATGCATTGCCTTCTGGGTCCACCACACTTTTCAAATGACAGCATTGCACAGAAGATCTCTTATTGTTTGGAGTCCCTGACAGAACCAAGGAAGAAACATGTGTTTTGCTTCTGTGGTCTTAAAAAGGGTTTGTTCTCTCTGAGTTATGACTTTGAGCTATAGCAACTTGTAATTAAGTGTCCAACACAAATTATAGGTAATAATTTAATTGAATAATAATCTTAGCTGCTCCACTCCCAACCTCTGTCACAAATGCCTGCTAGCAAAAAGGGGTGCCTAGCAAAAGTAGCTCTCAAAATTAGTGTTGTCAGGCCTCTGGTTTTCGACTGGAATGCCAGGTCAAAAAGGGACCTGGTGGCTCCCGTCAGCACTGCTGACCGAGCCCCTAAAACTCCTGTCAGAGGCGCAGCGGGGCTAAGGCAGGCTCCCTGCCTGCCCTAGCTCTGTGCGTCTCCCAGAAGCAGCCGGCATGTGCGGCTCCTAGGCGCAGGGGTAACCAGGGGGGTTCCGCATGCTGCCCCTGCCCCGAGCGCTGGCTCCGCAGTTCCCATTGGCCAGGGCTAGGAGCCAGGGGGACATGCCTGCCTCTCCCGGGAGCCGCCTGAGTTAAGCACCGCCTAGAGCCCAAGCCCCAAACCCCAACCTCCTGTCCCAGCCCTGAGCCCCCTCCTGCACCCAAACTACCTCCCAGAGCCTTCACCGCACACCTACTCCTGCATCCCAACCCCCAGCCCAAGCACTGAGTTCCCTCCCACACTCCAAACCCTTCAGACCCAGCCTAGAGCCCCCTCCTGCACCCTAAACCCCTCATCCCTGGCCCCACCCCAGAGCTTGCACCCCCAGAAGAAGCCCTCACCCTCACCCCAGTCCAAAGCCCCCTCCTGCACCCCAACCCCCCCTGCCCCAGCCCTGAGCCCCTGCCGCACCCAAACTCCCTCCCAGAGCCTGCACTCATCCCGCACACCAAAACCTTCAGCACCAGCCGGGAACCCCCTCCCACACCCTGAACCCCTCATTTCTGGCCACACCCCAGAGCCTGCACCCCCAGCACAGAGCCCGTTCCCCCTGCCGCACCCCAACCCCCTGCCTCAGCCCAGAATCCCCTCCCACACTCCAAACCCCTTGGCCTCAGCCCCCAGCCTGGAGCTCCCTCCTGCACCCCAAGCCCCTCATCCCCGGCCCCACCCCTGAGCCCGCACACCCAGTCAGAACCCTCCCGCACCCCAACCCCTTGCCCCTGCCTGGAGAAAGTGAGCATGTGAGGGAGGTGGGATGGAGTGAGGGGGCAGGTCCTAGGAGAAGGGGTGGGGCAAGGGCAGGGCTTTGGGGAAGGGGCAGAGCAGGGGCGAGGCAAGGGTGTTTGGTTTTCTGCAATCTGCCAACCTTACTCAAAATAGACCAAGCAACATTGTTCTGGAACCCCTAATGATGTTTTAAAGTAATAAATTAAGACAGCAGATTGTCTATTGGAGGTGGATCTCAGTGCAGGTTTCAAAATATTATCTCCTGAAGGCATTGCTTTTGCATTATAGTGGCACCCATATTGCTACATAGATGCGGGGTACAAACCGGTAATATTCATGATCCTGTATACAGCGTTATCTCATATTTTTCCAGAGGAGTCTACACTCCGGCATCTTACATTTTTGAATATAGTTTGTCATCCTCAGGATAGATTTATCCATACTTCACAGTTTTGACCATGTCTCTGCTTACTCTAACCCATAGTACAAGCTTCACTGTGCAGTAACTAAATGCAATAAATATGGAGTTCAATGTCAGATTCCATTCTTATGGTTTTTTTTTATTTTTAGCCTGGATGTGTAAACACTACTGAAGTGGATATAAAAAAGTCTTCAAGAATGAAAAATCCTCACAAAACAAGAAAGGTAAGTACTGTGTTTGGATAAAAAGTGTTATATTTCCAGAGTTGTTTATTTAATATGACTGAAACATGTAAAACCTTTTTTTCCTTTCTTTGCATTGAAAAAATACATAAAAAATTCCATAGCCTGTTGTGACTTGAAACTACTAATTAGTAAGCCATTTACTAAGGGTATGTCTACACTTACCATTTAAGCGCAAAAAGTCCCTTTTTTACACTAAAACTGCGGAAGCTTCTACACTTGTTCATGACTTTTTGCGGTGAAACTCTGCACTGGTTAGGCCTCAACTGGAGTATTGTGTCCAGTTCTGGGCACTGCATTTCAAGAAAGATGTGGAGAAATTGGAGAGGGTGCAGAGAAGAGCAACAAGAATGATTAAAGATCTTGAGAACATGACCTATGAAGGAAGGCTGAAAGAATTGGGTTTGTTTAGTTTGGAAAAGAGAAGACTGAGAGGGGACATGATAGCAGTTTTCAGGTATCTGAAAGGGTGTCATAAGGAGGAGGGAGAAAACTTGTTCACCTTAGCCTCTAAGGATAGAACAAGAAGCAATGGGCTTAAACTGCAGCAAGGGAGGTCTAGGTTGGACATTAGGAAAAAGTTCCTAGCTTTCAGGGTGGAAATAAATTGCCTAGGGAGGTTGTGGAATCTCTGGAGATATTTAAGAGTAGGTTAGATAAATGTCTATCCGGGATTTGGTCCTGCTATGAGGGCAGGGGACTGGACTCAATGACCTCTCGACGTCCCTTCCTATAAATCTATGAATCTATGAATCTATTTACTTTCACCAGTTCCCTATCACTGGTGAAACTTACAGCGCAAAAACTCAGTAGGTGTAGACATACCCTAAAAATTAAAACAGACCTGCTTTTTCTTTAGGCTTTTTCTTACATCTATCTAAGGGTACTGAGCACCTTCAGCTTCTGTGGTTCAATCATAATAAAGCCTTACAGGAACTTTCCAGTTTTAACTGCCCTAAACAAAATATGTTGTTTGCAAATGTAAATTCCATTGCCCCAAGGAATCCCTCAGAGGCATAGACGGGGGAACGAAAAGAATAAGAGACCCATATTTTGCAGTGTAGAACATATTGTCAGTAGGTTGTTCAGTATATTGAATATTGCATGGTACATACTTAGTATCCCTGTTACAAATTTTCTATCATCAGTTAAAGGGAAAAAATATAAGTGAAAATGCCCACAGAACTTTCACTTTCAGTAAGTACAAACATGCAAGAAAAATAGTAGTAGCAATGGATCCTTGCACATCCTTGAAAGTAAAGAGAAATTTAGAATAAAGATGTCCCCAAATGAAACCCCTGGAACTTTGGAGGAAATAGATTTGATATACCAAATCAATTTTACAAATTGTCCATGTCTATATAACAGGTTGGACCAATACCCCAGATCCAAGCAATCCTAAATTATAAGGTATTCCAGATCCAGAGCTGGATCCCAGTTCTGTACATTGATCCCATTTTTAATCTAAAGTATCACTTTGTAGTTAGATTATAGTGTAGTTGCATGGTAAAATCCTGAATCTGAAGGAAGACTGGATTTGGAGATGTCATCAGCATAATTTGATTGCATTAGTGAAAGGTCCTAGGCATTAGTCATTTATCAAGCACCTGGCACACATTTGGGAACTGTACAAATAATAATTCATCATGGCAGTGTACCTCTCAATTTCCTGTTCCTTCTCTTCCGTGCGAACCACCTCCATTCACTATAATAGATGCCCTACTGTGTCATCCCTAACACGTGCTACATGCAAATATATATATAGAGAGAGAGAGTTAGACATAAAATCCTATGTTATCATGTAATAGGGCCTTTTCTCAGAATTATTTATTTCATTTTGCAACATTGTGTTTCAATGTATGGCATATTTACAGTACTGTTGAACAATGATGTAGGGCTTTTGAATACACAGAGGTAGCTAACTTCTTACATACATAATACAAAAATATATATGATGATGTGTGTATAAGATAAGCACTCTTTAAAAACAAATGTCTTTCTTTCCATACTTTTTCATAGTCTGTCTATGGATTACAAAATGACATTCGAAGTCATAGTCCTACCCACACACCAGTACCAGAAACTAAGCCACCCACAGAAGACGAATTACACCAAGAGGTTTGAAAACAATTATAATAAACTTCTAAATAAACCATTCTGGAAAAAAAAATAGAATAAAAAGTTACCATAACTGTCAAGTATATTTATTTAACATTTAAATTAGATCAATTAAATGTTTAGAGGAAACAAAGTTTGAGAGTATATTTCTTCTCATCTCAATACATGGAGATTTTTGCATATAACTTTCATTAAGGGTAATGGGAGTAGCACTAACTTTTTTTAGTCTTTATTAACAGTGTAAAGCTTTACCAATAATCCAGTTTGTGTGTTCTTTTTGTAATTAAATGCATTAGGCTTTTTGCAGTAACCAGTTCACTCACTCACTCTTCCAACACTTCACTTTAAGGTTTGAGAGCATAGTTGCATTTCAGTGTGTGTGGATTTACTCATATTGCCATTTATACTTCATTAATCTTTCCCAGAGCAATAGAAGCAGTAAAAGGTGGGTGACTGGGAACAATTAATGGATTTCTCTGTAAAAATTAAAATACTAATTAGATTTATTTGATGAACCTTTAGGAAAAATGTTATACTTGTCCATTTTTAGCTATGTATAATGTCTTGTACTAATAAAGAGTTCCATCTACTTTAAGAAATATTGTGATCATTATCATAAATATGTCATTATAGCTCAGATACACTTCTCTGTGACTTAGGAAAAATTAAATTTACATTGTAGTCCTAATAAAACGTTCTGTAATAGAGTCAAGCAAGACATTACTCATGCCATTTTTTGCCTTCACTTTTTCAGATAAAATATTGGCAAATACAGTTAGATAGACATCGATTAAAAATGTCAAAAGTTGCAGAGAGGTACGTATATTGTCACATTTTCTATTTTTGAAATGCTCTAAGAAGTATCTAGAAATTTTCTGTGAGAAGGAGCCAGAGAGGAGGAGACAAGGGAGCTGGGATGTGTTATTCAAATTGACTGAAGACAGTTTACTTTGTGTGAGCTGTGAAGGCATATCTATTTTCTGATTCGCTAATATGGTGTGATTTAATGCCATTTCTCTCAGTTCAGTGAAACAGGAAAAAAAGTGCTGAATTTAGAAGAAAGCTGTGGTGCTATCATGTAACTGCTTTGTACACTAAGCTCCCTGACATTGCCTTCCCTAGGAAAATTGCTATCTGTTTTTCAGGACCAATGTGGAGAAAAGGCTACAAAATTACTAATGTAGATATAACCCACTTGTCATTGTATGTTGCGTATGGCTGTATGTCCCTATGGACAGAGGCTGTGTCTGTTACAGCTCTACAGTGCAGAGCCTGACTCTTTAGCTTCACTAGAGCACCTCTTATTTTCAACTCAGGAGGCCCTTAGTTCAGTCCCTGGTATTGGCCAAATTGGTGGCGTCTCACAAACTCCTTTCGAAGTCATCGGGTACCACAGCTGGTGTTGATGATTTTTTGTGGGCTTGCAAGACAATTTTTGCACCACGACATTGTACTAAATTCATTCCCAAGAAATTAAAAAAAAATGGACTCCTGTTTCATTCTCTCCCCCCACCATCATTAACCAACTCTTATCCTGCATGCTCTCGCTCCACTCTGCATTAATATGACTGAACAACCCAGATTTCATAAGTAAATAGGCAACTATATCTCCCAGAAAGCCAGGAATATACTTATTTTCAGAACTGGTGCCTGTTTTAGAGAAACCATGGTTTGCCGTCCCCTGTCTTCCCCCCGCCAAACCCCTGTAGTCTGGCCACCTGAAAGAGCCACGGCACAGCTGAGTTGGTCAATCAGGCAGTAGGCAGAGTGACAGCACCCATGCAGCTCAGGGACCTATCCCCAGATCTGTTGTACAATAATGTTGCTACCTTGCCTCCATTAAGCCTCCCAGTGAGCTCCCCTTCCAACTCAGCCCTCCCCAAAATCAGAGTCAGATCTACTTAATTAGTTTCTTTTATTTCAGCTTCTCTCTCTGCCTTATTTCAATCTCTTTAGCCTCATCTATAAAATGAGGCTAAAACCTGATTCATGGGCTGCGTGGTAGACTTTATTGATTAATGCATTTGACATTCTTCAGTGAAATTCCATGCAGAAATGTTTAGAAGTATTAATAAAGCTTGCAGTTTATTTTATTTCAGCCCTTGATAAAATAGGAAGCACTATCCCACCACCACCACTGTTTACTTTTAAAAAACAGGATTCTGATCATAAAGCTCATTAACATGACAATGTTGGTTGGTTTTGTTTTTCTAGTCTGTTAGCTTACACAGAGCAGTATGTGGAATATGATCCATTTCTTGTGTCGCCTGACCCCTCTAACCCTTGGCTATCAGATGACACTACATTCTGGGAACTAGAGGTCTGGTATGTTATTTCTTCCTTCTTTTCAGATTAATAAAGTACATGGCAATAATTTCCGTCTTTGCTTGAAATGTGCAGATTTCAACCATACGTTCTGCAATACTGAGGCAGATTGGAAATGCGACTACCATGCATACCAATTTGCTCTTGGTCTTTTCAGCTGTCCAGTTTCATGTTATTTTGGATGGATTTATATACCTGCATGAAAAACTGCAGGGTCCACAATGGCCAATATACAGGGTTCCACTGAGGAGGGGGACGAGAAGGGGAGCCCCATATATACATATGTGTGTGTGTATGTGTGTGTGTGTGTGTGTATATATATATATATATATACACACATACACTCACACTCCTATGCTATATTGATTAAGCACTGACAGTGTGCTTGGCACTGACCATTAAATCTCTGTATAACACCACCATACAAACAAAAGTGACTTGGAAGGTGAGAAATCCGTAGCTAAACTTTAGGAGTTCCCATCATTATTTGCATATACAACACTAAAGTGCTAGCTCACTCTGTGACTACTTTTTTTCTTGCCCACAGCAAAGAGCCAGGGCAACAGAGGGTAAAGCGATGGGGCTTTGGCATGGATGAAGCATTGAAGGACACAGTGGGGAGAGAGCAGTTTCTCAAGTTCCTGGAGTCAGAGTTCAGCTCAGAAAACTTAAGGTGAAGCTGAAGAGTTTTTATCTTTTTAGCAACAGCTAAGAAATGTTTTGTGTGTCTGGTGCCATTTTTTTAAAATTTATTTTCTCCCTTATAGATATAGTCCCATTTCTTCTGCCTAAGGGTCCAATCCTACAAGGTGTCGCATCCCCTCATTTTTCAATGGCTTTGAGTGTTAATGGTGCTCAGGCCAACACCAACAAATATATAAATACTCCACATCCCTAAACACACTATTCTGATCATGTCCAGTTTCTAGAGGGATCCTTTCTCAAATCATCATATTACATGTCTCAGAAACATTGACCAACCACAGGGCATTTGGTATCTTTTAATACATACAGCATTATAAGGATAGTAAACTTACAGTGGGAAATTTTCAAATGCAACTAAGGGATTTAGGAGCAAAAATCCCATGGATGTTTGCTCCTAAATATCATAGCTGCTTTTGAAAATCTCCCTGACAGTGATTAAAAAGAACAATAAAATGCTCTTAAGTCTTAGTGTAGGTTAAACATGGTATGACTGATGTGACTTGCTCCTGTCATGCAAGTTTTTTAGAAGCTTGTAAATCTCCAAGAAACTTCTCTTCAAAAATTGCATAATAAAGGCGCTGTGTATGTGTAGGACAACTTGTCAAATCTAAATTTTTCTCATTTAAAACAAGATCTCTTTTAAAAATGAACAGAAACGGCCCATTTCACAGTATAGAATTATAGCCAAACCACTAGCAAAAGCCATTTTTGGTTGTTGCTGTTCCAGTGAAGCTGTATTAAAACTACCAGTATATGCACGTGAGAAGGACTTAATAATGGATATTAATTTTTGCTCTTCTACGGCCAAAAAAGGGAATTTTGCTTCTCAAAGGTATGTATATCAAAACCCCATCCCCATGCTAAGTTATTTTCATTGCCCAGCTGTGACCCCCTTAAAAATGGGATTCACCGGGCACCTGAGCACTATGGAGAGAGACCCTGGTCTAGTATAAAAGCCCTAATTTGAAAGATGCCAAGCACCCTCAGTTTCTAGACATGAGGGTACATAGCATTGAAGTTTTTCCAAACTTACATCAGAGTAACTGGGAGCAGATTATTCCATGCTATTGGGCATTGTTTTACCATACTGTATTTAACATAGTCACAGTTTGGAAATCTCCACTATTAAATCTGGATTTAATGTGGCAATACAGGAAACCCCTTATCTAGTCAAGTTATAGAACAATTTTGGATCAAAAATATAAATTAAATATTCTGGACCCTATCCTGTTCCTAGCTTTTGTTTTGCATTGATTTCAGAGGGACTGAGATCTGGGCCAATGTGTGTGTTGCTAAATAACATGTTACTTGTTGGTGGCAATTTCTGAATTAAAAAAGCTAAGTGATAATTAAAGGGCAAATATTTTATCAGCCTGGTACAAAGGAATGGGAAGGTATTTTTTTTATTTAAAAAATGTCCCAGTAATTCCTTATTCAAGGCAGCTGTTCAAACATGAACCTGTTCAACCTAGCATATGCTACGTTTTCTACACTTTTCTATGACTAATTTGTCTTGCTGCCAACCAGACTGTTACCACATAATCCCAGGCTCTTTCCTCTAATCCTATTTACAACACTAACCACAGGCAAACTGCAAGTGACTGATCCAGCAAAATACCCTAGAGGATTTTGTTTGGAGCTAATTTCTCAATGTGCCATCTCCCATTATTTCTATCTATCTAGGTTCCTATATTAGCGTAATAAAGCATAATATCTGAGCGGAGATGGGTGCCAAATAAAAAGCTATGCCTGTGATATGTTAGAGAGAACTCTTTTTAAAGTCTCATATGTATGAGACTCAAAATGCCACTGATTGCAGTGATATAAATAAAATTTACTTCTGACATAGTAATCCCATGCATAATGAGTCACAAAGTACCTGTTGATGCACAATGGCACACCTAAATGTCTCAGCATCTTCCCGAATGCTATCACACTCAGTTTTGATTTCTTTAAATGTAAGAGCACCTACCTGCTTACACAGCTATTAACCACATAATGATAGAATTTGTAGTTTGGGGGATTTGATAGCATCTTTCTAATACTGTGGCAAGGGGATTTGCTTCCATCAGTAGCTCCTCAGCTTAGTAATATGACTAACATAACTTCACATCCGTGTTTATCAGGTGTCATCCCTTTGCAGATTTGACCACGACTGAATTTAAAACAAGTGTCATCAAAACCAGAGGAGTAGCAAACAGATGGGACTATAGTACCAAACTGCAAAATGTCCTGTAGAAAATACAGCATTGGGCTTCAGGCAGTGAGGAAACATTCACTCCTAATCAATCTAAAGCCCTGTGCCCAGGTCAATGGAAGAAATGGAGGAGATATAAAAAGAGGCTGTAATCAAGGAGCCACACCCATTGCATGAAACCATGTTTATTTTCAGCTTTATCTCATTAATACTCTCAATATGACTTTTTTCATGCCCTTGAGTTGAGAAGTGCAGAATCAGGACTGGTACTGGGAGTGAAGTTGGTCCACAGTAGAGTCTTTCTTAAGAAGTGCGAGCCAATGTGAAGAAAATTTGAAGCAATGGACTGAAACCGAGAGGAAGGATAGTTCAGTGGTTAGTAGGCTAGCCTAGGACTGAGCAGATGTAGGTTCAATTTCCTGCTTAGACACGTACTGTGTGACTTGGGCAAGTTAATTAGTGTCTCTGTACTTTGGTTCCCTATTTGTAAAATGGGAACAATACTACTTCCCTACCTCATGGGGGAGTTGTGATGATAAATAATTAAAGACTGTGAGGTGCTCAGATACTACAGTAATGGGGTGGGGGAGCCATGTAAGCACCATACATTGATAAAACATAATACTGTACTTCTTGGGTAAAGAGGCAGCTCAGCTGGATGAGAGATATCCCTAGTCAATGTAGCTACTGGTTGGTCCCCTCTTGCTCTTCATTCAGCTACTATTTCTTGGAAAAAGTCTGATCAGGGGTGTTAGTAGTGTAGCTTCAGTACAGGACATGGGATTCTGAGTGGACCGTTTAACTCAGAAGGCTCACAGAACTGCTCCTCCATGCATCAAGCCTACACTATTACACCCTCCTTAGTAATCAGCCACTGAGAGCAAGTCCTTTTGGAAGCTCTGCTTTATGCTTGGTTCACTGTGAGGCCAAGTATTACAGTAACACAAGAGTTGAGAGTATCATTTTTGCAAAGTTCCTAGCTCCTGTTAGGAAGCAAAGAACTATATTTTAAATGTGGATGCTTAAGTTTTAGCAGGATCCAGTACTGTCTGGATCAGTTGGTTGCCCTGGCACACTGGGATATTCAAAGGAGCATATGGGATACAGGCAACTAAATCCCATTGAAATGAGAGTTAGACACCTAACTTCCTTAGTCTTCTTTGAAAATCCCAGCCTCGCTCCTTGTCTGATCCTTGCTATATCTATGTATCACTGAGGTCTCTGACCAGTAAGTATTTATATGTTGTCTGCCTATTAGTTTCCAGGTGGAGGTTGTTATAGATTTCAAACTATAAAGACCTATATGGTTTTGAGTCTTGCCTACATGACAGACCATCTTTCTCCCTGTGTGATACAGCAGCAGCTGTGTGCTCAACAGAGGTACTTGTGCTAAAAACAGCCCCTGGGGTTAAAAAGGAAGGAAAAGTGGCAGGGCATCTTCTGAAATGTGCCCTTCTCCTTGATCAGACAGACCTTGGATTTGTTAACTTTCATAAGATGCTGGAAAGCTCGAGGGAGAGAAGAGTTCTGGGTGCTTGGTAGCATGTGTATGTGTGTATGTCAGAGTGGGGGTTTAGAGAGTGGTCAGATATGGGGTTAGTATGCTGGACAAATAGTCTAGTTTCAGCAACCCAGCATGCACTGGAATTTTGTGTGGGGCTTTATTTTTGTAATCACACATCGTACTTGCTGTAAAAATCTCTAGCACCAGGGATAGATGTCTCAGATTAATCCGTTCAAATAAATAAATCAAATAATTGTATACAGCTCAGTGGTGTGAAACACAGACTACATCAGCCTTATGTCTGAATGGCCATGCTTTTGTTTACTTTATCTGAAAGAATATATACATACATAAACATAGCTTAATTATACCATAATAAAATGATTTGATTGGTGGAGGAGGGAATGATACAGGAGATAGGCATATTGGGTTTGATTGATTTTTCCCTTTCGGCCTCACCTTGTTTTTCTTGTTGTTATTTATTAATCATCATTGTAGATTATTTTTAAATGTTTTTATGTATTTAAATATATTTATCTGAAATGCCAGTGGGAAGCTAGTTCTGCAGTTAACTGACCACGGAGAAGAGTTACTGGCCTTTGTTGCAAGGTATAACAGGCAGAGCTGGTAGCAACCGACAGTTCAGATTGTCTAACACTTTCTATTAATTCCTGTTTTCAGTTGCTAATAAAGGTGCCAAACTTTAATCTCTCAGACTGAAATGTTCCATGCTTGCTCTCTGCCCCAGAATGAATTTTTGGAATATTTCAGCGATAGGGGTTTCAGAGAATAAGGCTAAGGATTAATAGGTAGTTTGGCCAATGTTAACATTTTTTCCAACCGTTCCCTTGAAGAGCTTTAGCACCTCCTTGTTTTGGAGCAAGACTTGGTATTTGGAAAAGGGGTGATCCTAGGTGTCAGAGAGAGGGTTTTTTTCTGTCCTCATGAAAATCCATCTAAATATGACAGAGTTACAAACCTCCCAGGTGCACATGCTCAGTGGAGCTTGTTAGGAGCTTGCTGCTAAAACCTCCAAATGTTATATCCAGCTCCATAAAGCTACCCACACACCAACTGCATTATGTTCCAGTTCTACAGAGCTCCCCACACGATAGGCGCAAAGCTAGAGCTCCAGATACAGGCATGCTCCAGTAGCTTTGGCCCATGGGTGGTTGTATTGCATTGGGAGTGAGGAGGTGCCCGTGAGTTCTAATCAGGGTTCTTCCATTAGCTGGTGTTAATTCTATGTATGTCACTTCCCAGGCAATCTTAATTTGGCCCCTTGTGTGTAAGCATGATGACAGTATTTAATTACATGTTTACATACTACTTGTTCTACAGAACTCTTGCTTTATTCAGTGCACTGGAGAGACAGTGATTGAGGCAAAGGGTTGTAAGAAAAGAAAGGTTGTTCTCTTGTGTTTAAGGTACTGCACAGGGACCCTACAAGTCTGTGTTCCAACCCTGGCTCTGCTATTGATTTCCTGTGTGATAGCTGGCAAAATTAATGCACACACACAAGGCAGTAGCCTTAATGCTTGACTCTTCTGTAGGAAGAGGGTATACATTTTGTTTTGAAAGCTCAGTAAGCAGATTAAAATGCATGTCTGAAAATGAAGTAATCTCCCTAGACATAGCATATTGCAGCTCTCAGCACATTTTTTGTTTCCATTTTAAAAGAGGTTTCTACAATTATAGGCTCACAGTTTCTGTAGGGTTTTTGGAGTACTAACGTTAGAAATGTAAAATAAAAATTAATCTACCAGTGAGGAGCTTGTGCTCACCTTGATAAAGATGGGTCTGGATTGCCTTTCTTTTCCATGCTAGAAGCTACACGTTCCTCCAAAGTAGTTCAGTTTATCTCCCGCCTATTTTTCCATCACTGTCTGTACCATAGTGTAAGGCAATGGTTCACATGCAAAGTAACATCCTGGGTTTATTTGTGGGGTTCCCAGAAATATTGGTGATGGCAAGAAGGAATAAACAAGATCACTCTCCTAGGATAGAGCCTAATGGATGTCTGGGTCTGAAAATGGCTGTGGTTACAAAGAACATCTCCCCCTTTCATTTCTCTGCTCTTTACCTACCTTTCATACAAATGAATAATCAGCCAATCCCAGTAGTACATTGGAGTGGGGCTTGCACTGCAGGACGTACCCTCTGAAATGTAAATATCTAAAGCAGTTTAAAACAACAAACTCAGGTTGCCCAAACTCAACAGAATTATTTACTGGGTCAGCTGAATTAAAGTCTGTGTGCTGTGCAGTTATTAAGCTTCTGTAAGAACACTATTCTAGATGCATTGCTTTCAAATTTATAGACCAAATACAGTAAAACCATCAGATTTTGGTGGTTCAGTGTGTAGGGCACTAACCTAGGACTACAGAGACTTGGGTTTTAAACTCCTGTTCTGCCACAGACACCCTGTGTGATCTTGGGCAAATCTCTGAGCACCAGATCCTCAAAGCAACTTAGGTGCCTAAATGTCTTTTGAGGATCTAGGCCTTCGTCTCCTTGTACCTCAGTTCCCCATCTGTAAAATGGGGATAATAGCACTCCCTGACATCGCAGGGGTGTTGTGAAGATAAATACAGTAAAAGGATTGTGAGGCACTCAGATATCAGAAATAGGTACCTAAAATAGATATCTCAAAAGACAGAGGCTGATATTAGGCAGTTGAAGGTCAAGCTGATGGGAAACCATAACAAGCTAAACCATTGAATGAGGTTGTCAAATGCCGTTTTAGACAGAACACCTCCCCTGCTACAAAGAAGTACTGGGCTCATGTGACCACCCTGCCTACCATTTGTTAGAGTTAGGCCAGTTTAATAAGGAGACTATGAGACTAATTGCTTCCAATGAGGTAAACTGAAGTGAAGAACTAGTTTGTAAGGTGGTGTTCTGTTTATTTGCTTTGCTTTGCTGTCTTTGTGCAGCAGCCTTACCAGACCTGTAAGATGCAATGTCATTTTTGACTTCTTGGGAGACCTGGGTGTAAAACAATAGTCCCTCAAGACAGTGAAAACATGCCTTGGTCTTGCAGTGTATTCAGGACAATACCATGTTTTAACCATATTCCCAAATCATGCTCTCATCATGTGAAGCCCAAGCCAGAGCATGGTCAAGATCAGTTGAGTCCCAACTTCTCTATGTTATTAGACCAACCGTGTTGACATCATATTGGAAGACTACGTTGTATCTGGCTCCCCCGACAAAGCAGAAACCACATTGTAGTGGGTCCTGTCTTCTCTGAGAATAAAACTGTGCAAGTTTACGGCACCATGCTTAAGTCTAGCTGTTTCTAGAAGGATTCCCAGAGCAGTGATCTTTTTTGTTAACTGTGTTGTACAGTCTGTGGACAACCAAATAGTGATTATAGTACAGTGATCAAGGTAACCATGCTAGTATCCTAATAGCAACAACTGTATAAATGTGATTCCAGGTAGCACAGTTCTGATCACATTTGGTCAAGACCTTTTTAGTGATTTTTTTATTGTGAGGAAAAAATATACCATGGTCCCACACATAACCTTACATGGCTTCCTGAAGTATGTATGCTCTGTACAGCTAGAAGCTAGATTGGACACTGCTATTTACAATTGCTCAAATACCAGGTCAAGGGACAGGCAATGAAATTGAAAGGGGAAAAAAATTAAAGCTGATAAAAGAAATACATTTTCGGACAACATGCAATTAGCGTGCACAGTTTACAGCCACAAAATACAGTTGAGGCTAAGAGTTTAGCAGGATTCAAAAGATTAGACCTTTAGATGGATAACAAGAGATCTGGCCTAGTGAATAGGGAGGAAGCAGTAAATGTGATGTATCTTGATTTTAGTATGGCTTTTGACACCGTCCCACATGACATTGTCACAAGCAAACTAGGTAAATGTGGTCTAGATGAAATTACTATAAGATGGGTGCAAAACTGATTGAAAGACCATACTCAAAGACTAGTTATCAATGGTTTGCTGTCAGACTGGGATGGCTATCTAGTGGGGTCCCACAATGGTCTGTCCTGGTCCAGTACCATTCCATATTTTCATTAATTACTTTCACTAATGGAAAATGGAGTGGAGAGTATGCTTATAAAATTTGCAGATGACACCAAGCTAGGAGGGGTTGCAAGCAATTTGGAGGACAGGATTAGAATTCAAAAGAACCTTGACAAATTGGAGAATTGGTCTGAAATCAACAAGATGAAATTCAGTTAAGACAAGTGTAAAGTACTATCCTTAGGAAGGAAAACTCAATTGCACAACTACAAAATGGGGAATAACTGGCTAGATAGTAGTACTGCTGAAAAGGATCTATAGGGTTATAGTGGATCACAAATTGAATATAAGCCAACAACCTAAAAAGGCTAGGATGCTGGGAGTGTTGTATGTAAGACATGGGAGATAACTATCCCGCTCAGCTCGAATACTATGTCCAATTTTAGGTGCCACACTTTAAGAAACATATGGGGGGGGAAATTGGAATGAGTCCAGAGGAAAGCAACAAACATGATAAAGGGTTTAAAAAAATTGACCTATCAAAAAAGGTTTAAAAAACTGGGCATAATTAGTCTTGAGTAAAGAAGACCGAGGGGGGACCTGATAACAGTCTTCAAATATGTTAAGGGCTGCTATAAAGAAAATGGTGATCAATTGTTCTCCATGTCCACTGAAGGTAGGACAACAAGTAATGGCCTTAGTCTGTAGCAAGGGCTATTAAATTTAGATATTTGGAAAAACTTCCTAACCATAAGGATAGTTAAGCTCTGGAATAGGCTTCCAAGGCAGTTTCTGGAATCCCTGTTATTGGTTGGACAGACACCTCTCAGGATGGTCTAGGTATACGTGGTCCTGCCTCAGCACAGGGGGCTGGATTAGACCTCTTGAGGTCCCTTCTAGCCCTACATTTCTATGATTCTATAAATCTTCATGCTTCAAGGCAACCTCTGTTTGATGGGGGTTAGGCAGAAATTTCCCTGTGAGCAGATTATCCTATAGGGTTTCTTGCACCTTCCCATGAAGCAGCTGATACTAGCCACTGTTTAATATAGGAGACTGGAATAGATAGACCACTGGTCTGAGCCAGTATGGCGATTCCTATACAGAAACTATATAATCCTAATACAAAATTCATGGCTACCACTTTGCTCATTGTTGTGTATTGTTTCTGTGATGTCTGTAAAGCAGTTTCTATGTCATTACAAACTATACTAATGAGAAGAGGCCATGAGAGGCTGGTTATACCCAGAACCTAGGAAAGAAATTAGCCTTAGAAATTCAAGTTGCCATATTTTGCCATAGGTTCTGGTTAGCAGTTGAAGATTTGAAGAAGAGACCTAATCGTGAAGTACCTGTTCGAGTCCAGGAAATCTGGCAGGAGTTTCTTGCTCCAGGAGCTCCCAGTGCCATCAATCTTGATTCAAAAAGTTATGACAAAACCACACAGAATGTGAAGGACCCAGGAAGATACACATTTGAAGATGCTCAGGTCAGTATATGATCTTCATCCAGGCACTTCCGAGGTATAGCACCGGCCACTTGTATGCACACTCTTACAAACAGATATATTTGGTAAAGATAATATAGTGTTCACTTTTCTGAAAATATCAGTATCAATAAAGTATGGGGGAAACTCATTCCTTGGATTAAGGCCTATGCATTGCTTAAGTGTCGTATGAGCCACAATTCTGATGACTGTAGTGGTGCAAAGGCTTCAAGCTGGTCCTCTGCAGATGTGGGAATCTGCCCTGCTAGCCGGGGGCGTAGTGCAATATAGGTACAGTGAAGCTCATTCTCTTCAGGTACCAGGTTTCTTAATCCTTTTGCTCAGTTGCATTAAAAAATGCTACAGAAAATCAAATGAATTTCTGCCTCTCAGGATCTGCTCTTGAAGGACTTTTCTTAATCAAAACGAGGAATCTGTTCTCCTCTGGATGCATGTTCATAATTCTCATTAGCGTTTATAGGAGGCAAAAGTTTATACCAAGGAAAGGGTGTTTATCCCATGGGAGAAATAAATATAAAGGCTTGTACTGAGGTTATTTCTGAATCCTGACCTATATACAAGTGTACCTTATAAACCGCATTGTAAAAGTAATATCCACAGAACAGCATAGTAGGCTTCTAGGAACTGTTCTTCAAGGAGTGATATTCTAGGAATGAAGGACAGATTGAGTATGACTTTCTAAGATTTTTTTCTCTATTTTACACATTGTGGGTTGATTTAATAAAGAAATATGGTACCATACACATAGCAAACAGATAACTCTAGTCCGAGTGGCCTTTGACAATTAGATTGATGATAGCACAGCACAAAACAGCAAAATGTTCATAAGAGAGCACACAATATATGTCTCCACTGTGATAGTCTGCATTAAACTAAACACACAATGGTTGTCTGCCTACACCAAGCCCTTAGAAATTGAATGGTACAGTACACAGAAAACAAAGACATAAATTACCTAGTTAAATACTTCAGAAATACAGAAGCTCTGGAAGCAAAGATATGTTTAAACTGCAATAGCTAAAGAAAAGCAACCTTCCTTACCATTATCCTAGTTTTGGAAATGTGTATGAAAGCTCAACACTCCTTTATTTTCTTTCTAGAATTTTTTTTTCCATTTGTGTGTGGTCTGGAGTATGCAGACTCTATGCAAAGGGGCTTTTTCCCATCAGAACTCCCTCCTTTGATCCTGTTCAGCGTAATTTAAGTCTGGGAGTGAACACTTCTCACTCAGAGCAAGCAGGATAGGACTCACCTGTCCTGCCTTGAACATTATGATCTTTACCCACTGTGCTAAAGTAGCAAGACTTTTTCAGTAGAGGGCCCCTTCTTTTGGAATTTGCTGCTCATGATGGTCTGCCAGGTTTTGAGTTGAAGAGCCTCCAGGGCATCAAACAAGTAATTTTATTTTTGTTTAAAATACAGCTCTACTCTGTAAGGTGACTCACTATAAAAATGGCATCATTGGGGTTCCATATTTGTCTCTTGAAGAGTCCAGCTCTAATGTGTTCAATTTACAAGTAAAAAAAAATATTTTTTCTAACTCCAGCTTTGCCAGCTTAACCTGGAATCTGAGAAGCAACCTGGGTTCTTTACTTCTTGTGCATTACCACCAGTAATAAATTCTGCAAGTTAAGTTATTCTCTGTGACACATCTGCGAGGCTGCTGTTTACAATGGTGTTTGCACAGATTCAATTGGCTGAATGTTGTTAACCAATTCTGTTGATACTGTGGATGAAGGAACAGAATCCTCTTTGTTCTCTCTTAGCTGTATTAGCTGTGCTAAAAAAAATGGTTTAAAGACTCACTAAAGGAGCCAGATCTGACTCTGAATGCATGAAGGTAGCATGTTGGGTCAGAAGGTGCTATTTTTTACATGATCACTTTTCAGAGTTTATAAATGCATTAGATTATCAAAACTGAGAGAACTTTGAAAATTTGATCGACTTCTACCTACATTTTGTCTCCTTTTGTATACTTTCTCAATTCACTCAGCTTGCACTGTATAAAGTGTTAGGATTTTCACTTTCAGGTTCATTCACTAGGTCAGTGTTGTTGTGCCAGGATTTCCCTATACTGCAAGAGAGAGTTTAAATTATTTTATAAACTGGTTTCATTGACTGCTTACAAATATATATTTCTATTCATATTGGGTTTTTTTTTAAACCCTCCCACCCCAACTGTATAAAAACAAATACGGACTCATGGACTTAGACTACTTTACATTTTAGCCCTTCAGCTTTTAGGGCATTCTGTGAATTTGATTTCTGAGCATTCTCTCTCTCTCTGTAGCAGAGGCTACTCAACACAATCTGCTGCCCTAGGCACACTTTAGTATGCTGCCCCCTGTGCCACTCAGATTTGGCCCAGCCTCCTCTCTGTCATAACAGATGGGCGGCCAGGCCAAATCTACTACCCTAGGCAGCTGCCCAGAAATCTGCAGCCCTTGGAAGCTGCCTAGCTGGCCTATAGCTAGAGTGGCCTCTGCTCTGTAGATATTTGTAAATTCTTCAGGGCATAACTTCACATGCATCTGAACAGTACATGGGGCATGATCTTGTGACTCAGTTCATGGGGCATGATCTTGACTGGGATGTCAGGGCACTAGTATATATAAATATTCCCAGATAACTATATTAAACTGGATTTATGGCTGAGTACATATCAGTAATTTACAGATAAACATATTACAGGGATATTGTAATTATCTGAAAACCAGATCCAGGAAATAGTTAAGGTTCAATTTAAAAGAAATCCAAACATGTTATGTATGGTATGGAAATGGACAGTTAAGGCACCCAAACAATTTTAACGCTGCCTTGTAGTGAGGCGATGCAGTTACAATCAGTGCATACTAGTGTTTGCAGTCCCAGATTAGATTAAATTTAAAGACATATTTGATTCCCCACCCCTCATGGTATCACTACAGGGTGGAGTTTAGCAGAATGGCCAATTAACCCTAAATACAATGTCTTCAAGTGTAGTCAATGGACTAAGCTTCAGTAAATGTATCTATAATGGAAGATTGAATTATTCTGTTAGTAAAGTAATTTGGGACAAAAAATGGTTTTATATGGGTGTTACATTTTTTGGAGCGTCTATTTAGCTGATGTACTTGTCAATTCTCAGAAAATTCATTCAAATATAGAACGAGTGCTGTAATTTAAGGGGAAGGTACACTGTATTCTTCACACATGACAAAGTGGTGGATTCTACTTTAAGAACAAAAGTCAATTCAACCTTAACTCTAGAACTGCAGCCAATGCTCCTTCCTTTTACGTTTCCTTCCATAAAAACTGTACTAATAATCATCTCTAGTATCTCTCGATAATGGCATTAAATATTCTGTTATCTATCTTTTTTATCTTAGTCCACTGCATCTTGTTTTCAGAACATCCATTCAAAATGTCAATTTTTTAAAATTTTATATCTTTTCTCTTCAGGAGCACATTTACAAACTGATGAAAAGTGATTCCTATCCTCGTTTTATACGATCCAGTGCCTACCAGGAGCTGCTACAGGCCAAGAAAAAGGTATTGATCCATCTTGTCTTTTTGTTGCAACTGTGCTCGGTGGTGGTGATGTTTGCTACAATACATGGATTTCTCTCCCCTATGCAAGTGCAGCTGGATATCTGGTAGGTGACCAGGTTGGCTTATTTAGAGGGTCACATACATACAGTAGTTTGATAAATGTATCCTGCACGTGTGTATGTTTTAATAAGTTAAATTAGCAAAACCTATTTTTATTTTTACATCTCACATTGTAGCACTCTTTCTGTTACCAAGCAACTTAAACTGAAAAGTAGTTTACAAGTAGGTTAAATAAAATAAAATCCCTGCAGTATAGCTGCAGCTTTCAAATTTGCAAATATAATAATTCTCATTTTCTTTATTTTTATTTACGAAGCCTACTAATTTGTTTAAAATTGATCTCATTGGTATAAATAACTTCTGATTTCATTTTTTTAAAAAGTATCTTAGGATTTCTTTCTCTCCCTGTTTTTATATGTCTAGTTTTTATCAGGTTAGGAATCTAATATGAATGTGAGATCATGTCACACTCATGCAAACAAAAAATCTTACCATGGTACATGACCCTTGCTTTTTAAGGTCCAGATTATGCAATGAGTTCTGCTGAGACGAACCCTTCACTGTGTGGAGCATCTTACATGATAGGGGGTCAAAGTGCTGAGTGCAAGGAAATTCCAAAACACTTTCTGATGCAAAAGTCTATAATGAAATTGTTGTTTGTTATTAGTGGGTCTGATTCTGCAACCACCACAAATTCTGAAATCCTATTGCAATCAGTTGGGAACACTGTTTGCAAAATCAGGCCCATTATCCTATGTAGCAGTAATAGTAAGCTAGTTATGATCTTGATAATACTAAACTGTGCATAAAATGAAAATCTAAAAATTATATGGAAGTACTGTATGGTTTTTTTCAAATGTTAGTTTTTGACCATCCAATATGGAGAAATGTTGAAAGTTCCACAGAGCTGCTACTGTGTATGCAAAGTCCTTAAGTTTTGCAAATGTCAGTTCATTGACACAAGAAATGCTCTTCATAATTTTTTTTATTTTCAGTTTTTCTTTTTAATCAAACCAGTTTGATCCACCTGAGAAACGTTTTTTTTTAATCAAATATTATAACTGCTTTGCCCATCCATTGTTCTATAACAGGCATTCATTAGCAGCTTCATACCTACTTTTGCTTCTTGATTTGTACATGAGCTTTGTTTTGCAGTCCATTGTTTCATCATTCTTTCTTTTCTGCTCTATTTGTTTCTTGCTCTTCTTCTTTTTTCTCCCCTTTTCTTTTCTTTTTCCTTTTTTTATTTCCCCCTTTTTTTAATTTAAGTTGGAAAACACACTGGATCGTCGAACATCTTTTGAGAAATTCACACGCAATGTGGTAAGTTTGTTACCTTGGCAAACTAATAAGCCTGATCGATGAAACACCCTTCTCCCCACCACCACCCCATTCCCTCACCTTTTCTCCTTCTGTATGACAGAAGATAAAGTTTTGCATCCATGCAAGTTTACAACTTTACATAGAAATGGCAGCTTTGTACTACGCTTTCATTACAGTCCTCCCCCAGCTCTCCCTCCTTTTACTGACTAACCTCAGAGAAAACCAGGTTGTTATTATTGCTATAAATGGAGGAATGGACCTGTGGGAGCCATACTGTTTGCATTAAGGAACATTAAATACACCCTAGAAAACGGAGTTAATTCACTCTTCATTTTTTTATTAAACTAAAGGAACCTCTGGAAACCTGCTTCATGCTGTTACTTTTATTGTGCATCATAAGAACAGACATACAGGGTCCATCTAGCCCAGCATCCAGTCTTCTGACAGTGGCCAGTGCCAGACACTTCAGAGGGAATGAACAGAACAGGGCAATTATCAAGTGATCCATCCCCTGTTGTCCAGTCCCAGTTTCTGGGAATCAGAGGTTTAGGGACACCTGGAGCAATAAGTTGTGTTCTTGACCTTCTTGGCTAATAGCCATAGATGGATCTATCCTCTAATTCTTTTTTGAACCCAGTTATAATTTTGGTCTTCAAACATCCCCTGGCAATGAGTTCCACAGGTTGACTTCACGTTGTGTGAAGACATACTTCCTTATGTTCGTTTTAAACCTGCTGCCTATTAATTTCATTGGGTGACCCCTGGTTCTTGTGTTATATGAAGGGGTAAATAACACTTCACTATTCTTTTTCTCCACACTATTTATGATTTTATAGACCTCTGTCATACACACACACCTCATTAGTCATCTCTTTTCTAAGCAGAGCAGTGCCACGCTTTTGAATCTCTCCTCATATGGAAGCTGTTCCATCTCCCTACTGATTTTTGTTGCCCTTCTCTGTATCTTTCTAATTCTAATATAACTTTTTTTGAGATGGGGTGATCAGAACTGAACACAGTATTCAAGGTGTGGGCGCACCATGGCTTTATATAGTGGCATTAAGATAATCTCCCCAAATACTATGTTTGATGCGTATTTTAATACATTGGATTCCTTTCCTTTTACTATTCCTATTTTGTCCTAGATGGAGTCTGGCCAATTTTATAATGGGGCATGGAAGGGGGTGGAAAATAACCTGTAACAAATGTCCCCAACTTCTCTCGAGCCTAATAATGCTTCTCAGGTTCAAAGGTGCTTTGTGAGCAGTTGATGCTTATGATGCACTAGGGGTCTGTTTGAATGTCATTTCAGTGACACAGTACAAGCAGCCAAAATTCCTGCCTACATGCTTCAATTCTGCTCCGTTCCTTATTCACTGAAAAGTAAGAATTTATTTTTGAAAGATGTTGCAGCAAGGTAAAAATGGAGGTTGGTGGATTTCTTATCCATATTTTCCCACCACCAGCCATGAGTTCCACTGATGTCCTCATTTACTGGATTATTTTTATTTGTGCCAGTCTTTGGGTCTTTTTTTGACATTGTGCAAGTTCAAACTAAAGCATTCAACACATTTATTTTTGTAGGGCAGAAACATCCCTATTTTTCCATGCCATAAAAACTGTACACCAACACTGAGGGCGAGCACTAACCTGTTATGAAAAGAGGTAGAAAGATCTTGGATTATACTCAAGTTTGTCTGCATTGTCTGTTGAATTGTGCAGTTCACGCTGCTGTGTGTGTTTGTTGTGGCTTTTGCTGTGACAATCGGTTAATGGAGCTTTGTGTGTTGAAATGAAAAGTATAAAGAGCTTCAGCAAAGATCATGGTTTTTGTTTTTAGTTTATAAGGGAGATGGGGCAGTTCTCATAAACGGCCTCCTGTATAATGAGTTCTTAACTCCTTAAAATAAATTTATTTTATGCTAAACAAAAAAGAAACAAGTGAAGTGAAAGAACAAAGTTCTATGATGAGGCTGTGGGGGTATCTCACATGCTAAAAGAAAACAACATATATTTTTGATGTTTCATTATAGATAACGGTTTCCTGTAATACATATTGGGTATCTTATTTTGTAAATTCGAAATTAATTTGGATTCAATGGGACAAAGTCACTAAAAGTCCAAGTAAAAGTCATTAGGTAAAACTCATTAAAAATGAATAAATAGCTATGAAACAAACAAAAAGTTTGAAACAAAAACCCCTATTTTTTGCATGGTGGTGTTGCCACAGCATGTTTCACTGTGATTTATGTATTGTCTAAAGAGATTGTTCTATAAAACAACTTTATAACATAACAATCATACTTTCTTTCACTGAGATGTTTAATAGGAGTTCCTGACTTATATAATCAAGGCTGCACTAATAAAGAAAACATGGGAACAATGATAACATACTGTGACTTTTGAGAGCTAGACTTTTCCCAATCAACCAGTGGCAACCTACAATAACTGGGATAACTATGGGAGTTTTGAACCAAAGGTGGCCCAGTGCAGATGAAATTATTTCAGTCTGCCTAGTGCTGTTGAGAAGAAAATTTAGTTGTCACTGCTAATATATAGTAATAATAATATATAATATAATATGTAATGTCCAATATACAGATAAAACCCAGATAAAATATGAAATAGAATGTTTAATTTAATGCACAGTAAATCGTTGAAGAATGTTACCCAAAGTAAATTTTAACTTTTCTGCAGTGTATTCAGTCTAACTCTATATGTATCTCCTCTTCTCACTTTTCCTTCTACCCTCCACCCCCTGTAATGAGTTTTGTCTTTCGAACTTTGTCACCCTATAGCTCAGAACATGGTAGATGCCACAGAATGATATGGGAAATTTGCATTAAGTAATAACAATTCTGAGATAGAGTAAGAACAATAAAAAAAAAGGTGGAGCATAAAGGAAAGAGTGTAAGGGGAAGAGAGTCTGGGCAGGGGAAAGATTTGGGGGTGAATATAGCACTAAAGGGGAGCAAATGAGGAAAGAATGGGTGGAATAATGGAGTAGTTGGCTAGAATTTAAGAGGGTGACAAAGTCTTCCCAACTGTGTGTTTAGCATTTTGCCTTGATATATAGGTATTTGGTCCTTTTTTTGTCCTGGCTTGTTACTGAGTAATGGGAGTGGGGATAAAGTATTAGTACTCTTCTTATTTCTCCCACCACTACCAGGATGTAAGAAGGTTCCAGATAGGCCCATTTCTGCAAAGTGCTGTGTGGTGCTGAAACCCTCAACTCCCATTGTAAACAGCAAACTCTTGGCAACTCACAGAATTGGCACTAAAATGAGAGCTTTATATTTGCAATATGATTCTATCGTCTGTGGTATCTCTTTTTTACTCAAAAAAACTCAACTCAGCATCACTTTTAAGGGAGTTCCTGCTAGTATCAACTGTGTCTACTGACATAAAAAGGGCCAAATATTCAAACACAGGCATTTCAGTTGCCACTGTGTAGTACACATGCACATACGCTGAACAGTAACAGCACAGACATATCTGGACTTGTTGCTGGCTAATGGGTGTACTTGTGCACTCAGTTGCTCACTTGTGAGCACAGCTGCCCACATTCAAATGTACAATGTCCTGTTTGTGTGTGCAATGCACATGGATAGTTTCCATGCCCAGCAAAGGCATCTGTGTGGAAATTTGGCCCTAAAAAGTTCTAGACATAGTCCTATCACCTAGAACATCAGTGATCATGACTGGGTTGGAAACCAGGAGGACTTCCTAACTCAGGTCTCAGCTTTTCTGGTTAGACTGTGTGTGTTTTTTTCTTTTTCCATAAAGACTCCTATGGGGACAAATTCTGATGTCCTCACTCTCAGTGACTTTTGTGGTAGTTTTGTTTGAGATAAAGACTGAGGGCTAGATTGGGTCATAAGGGGGACTTAGGTGCTGTAAATACCCACGGTGTCTAAATGTTAGGCTTGGGCACCTACACCCCTTTTGAAACTACTCCCAGGTGCCTGATTCTGCCATCTTTACTCAAGGCAAGTAGTACCCTACTTTTCAAGCAGGCTCAGTGACTTCAATGCATTGACCTCAATGTAACTACTTCAGTAGCAAGGTGCTACTGTATGAGTAAGGCAGGTAGAGTGAAAAGTGGAATGAGGACTTCTGGATTTTGCAAACTAGCACCTGTCGGTTTACAAATTGATATATTTGTATAACAGTACCCTGGCTGGATTGTCTGTGGGGACTGTACCCCAGAACTCTGGAGCTAAAAGCATGGCCCTCTAACACTTGCACTTAAAGGACCATAGAGGAGGACAGAGACTCACTCTGGGTTACACTTGCCTGCAAAAGCATTTGCTAAGTCAGAAAGGTCTCTTGAGATTTTCCCTTCATTACTCAATATAGTTATTTCTGTAACCGAATGATTCCTTTTTCTGGCCACGTAACAAAAATTAAAAAAAATAAAGGACAGAAAAGCTAAATTCAATTTTGTATTTCTTGGATACTGTAAAAAAATCTTTCTAGAAAGCTCTCAGTAATTCAGTTCATTTTGTGAAAATCCTTAATACACCACATGCCATCAAATATTGATGAGCTATAGATTTCAGTATGTTTATATTGCCACATAAACTTAATCGCTGCAAAATTATAACCCTGTGGTATTCTCTACTGTAGGTAAATATCAATCAATAATGCCATAAAGGTGTGCACTATGTAGACACAATAATAGCATGGTGAAAAGATTTCTATATAAATGTGGCATTTGTTACTGCTCACAATACATTTTACTAGTGTGTAGAAATGAATAGCAAAAAGGCAAAATTATTCTCTTTATTTTGCCTTTGTATTCTCAGAACTCCCAAATAACTCTGCAGAAATACATTGCAGCACACTGAAAATGAAGTGACATATAGATGTTCAATTTAGGCATGTGAATGGATTTGGAATAGTAGCTACAGGCAAGATGATC